ACCACCACATCTCCCACCAGTCCTTCTCTGTTTGTAAACAGGAGGTCAAGCGAGGCACCTCCCCTGGTAGGCTCACTTACCAGCTGTGTCAGGAAGTTGTCTTCCACACACTCCAGGAACCTCCTAGACTGCTTCCTTTCTGCCGTGTTATATTTCCAGCAGATGTCCGGGAAGTTGAAGTCCCCCACGAGAACAAGGGCCAGCGATCGAGACACCTCCGCTAGCCGCTTGTAGAACGCTTCATCAGCCTCTTCATCCTGGTTGGGTGGTCTATAACAGACTCCCAGCAGGATATCTGCCTCGTTGGCCTTCCCCCTCATCCTTACCCATAAACACTCAACCGTATCATCATCACAGTCGTTAAGCTCTATACAATCGAAACACTCCCTAACATACAGAGCCACCCCGCCGCCTCTCCTTCCTCGCCTGTCCCTTCTGAAGAGTCTATAGCCATCAGGTTTTACCTGCTAGCCACTGCTCAATGGCCATATCTCAGTGCGCATTGCCATTTGGACCATCTCCAGCCTCCACCTAACAAGCCTAGTTCCCTCTACTCGGTATCTCCTCTGTTCATCCATAGTTTCCAAACGTGATTTTATTGGTGTATCTCTTACTGCACATATTCTCTGAGCATTGGTGAATGTCATAGCAGAAAATGAGCTTTACTTAACCTGTTTTGTTGCTGTTCATAACCTTCCCCTAATGTTCCCTCAGACGCATCCATTTTGCTGTGGTCCCAGCACCACAATATAATTTTGGGTAAAGCTGGAAGAAGGGTGAATGCTCTGTCTGCTGTGTTGAGCAGTAGTGAGGGAGAGCAGAAGTTCCCCATGGCCTGATAACTCAAAAGGTGGTGTGTGAGATACTTCAGGGTTCGTTGCTGTAAGCTCCAGCATGGAGGAAGATCTCAGGTTAAGGAAGTCAGACAGCAGAGGCACCAACAAGATACTGCCTGTCTGATTCTTGCAGAGTATCCCACAAGCTGTTGGAAAAACCTAGTCTATACTGAGGCTCTCATGTTCTAACATGGCCTTTGCTGCTTCATGCCTGCATTCAAAGACAACACCTGAGGGCAGACCCCACTGCCCAGGGCCTGCTGGGCCTCCGCGCAGAACCAACCAAATTGCATATGTCCCCATAGCAAAGCCATGTCTGTTGTTGAATTCCCTGGAGAAGGGGAGGAAGGATATGAGCTGTGTTACCTGGGAAACTTAGGGTCTTGCTGTCTGTTAATCATGTGCACAGGGCTGCCAAACTCATGTGCAAAGCTCTTTAGCAAGTACAGGACAAGGCCCTTCTCTGTGAGCTAATACAGGCTTGTGTACACCACAGACTAATACAGCTTTTCTGGCAGCTCTTTCTATTCACTGTCTTTTAGTAAAGGAAGTAACCTCCTTCTCCCACAATGCTCATACCAACACCATATAATGGCTAGGCCAAGGTAGGACGATCAGTATCTTTTGTGCTTCCTACCCTTACATCAACTAAACATTGCATCCCCTCCACCTCCTACTATTTATTTTTCTGAACATGTTCACAACAGAATTACTTGACCCAGCTGTTAGCAGCCATGTGCCCATTCCTTCTGCTCTGACTCCTGGGCCACAAACATCATTCTTATTATTGCTGGAGAGACTTGCTAATTCTCTCCATCTAGATGGTGGTTGGCACAAAGGCATGAGCATGTGGAAGAAGCAACCAGTGCCCAGCCTGCTTGCTTACTGCTAGGTCTTAAATTGATAGGGGGAAGATGAGGGAAGAAGCAGTTGGCAGATGTTCTCTGTCTCTTCTAGATTGAGGAGGAATTCTGGCCCTACCTTTTCCCCAACATCTTACCATTGCAAATGCTGTCTTCTCCAGTATGCCTTGCAGTGTGAGTTGTGGCTTAAAGCCTTGTTCTGTCCTGTGTCTTACTCAACATCACTGAGTCTGCTGTGGTTTGCTAACCTGCCTCTTGAGCAGTACGTGGAGGCTAATCAGTAGAGACAGGGACTTGCCTCAACTACCTCTGTCGCATCATGGTTTACTGGATGAGAGATACAATTTCACTCTGTGTATGGGAAACATAATCCCGATTTTGGTGAGAAGATTAACATGACTAGGTTAACAGGAGAAGAGTTGACACCTCCTTCTCCTCTCTTGGAGAGGAAACTCGTGCACTTTGAGCTGAATGCAATAACCTAAACCTGTCCTGACAGATGAGTGGGCATGCTCATTCATAGCCTAATGGAAAAGGCAAATATACGTGTATGATTGTGATGGGTAGGGGACAGGATGGTCTCACTCACACAAAGGCTGTGCCCTTGCTTAAAATTATTGCTACGAAGGACAAATAAGATCCGTGCTGTGGAAAGACAGATGGCCCGAACTCAACTAGAAAGTATAGTTTTGTTGACTGAACTTACCAGGCTCCTTGAATTCCTTGAAGGTGTCATTCACCAGGGGGAAATGGATTACTATGGGTGCTCTGGGGTCCTCTGCATCTGAGAACACGTAACATTCCTTTGGGTTCTTCTCTTCTTCTTTACTTAGCTCCACTTTGGGGAATGGGATCTTTTGTATCTTGCAATATTTGTATGTCATCTCTAATTGCTGTGGAAACAGAATGTCATTGCCTTAAAGCTAACACTAAGACAAAAATCAGGTTTATTGAGGTATCACAGAAATATTATGGCAACTTAATTCAGTCCATAGAATCACTCTGCAATGAATGTGTAGTCCAAAGTAGCCACAGTATAACCCTACTTTCTGCCACCACTCACCACAAGTCAGAAGATGCTTCTTATCACCCTATAATGTTTTTTACAGCTAGAGGGAATGACCAAAAGCCACACTTAGAATTTGTCATGAGGACAGACCAGGAGAGATCAAGGTCATGTCTCCAGCAACCAATTGTTACTGCAATTCCCTGAGGATCCTAGGAAGTGTATGCTGCAATCCACTACAGAGAAAAGAGCCTAACAGTTTCTACAGTTCTGGTCTTGAAGGAAGTTTCTTTCCTCCTCCAAGATATGGTGACTGGTTTGCTCTTGAGTATATGATCAAGACTTAGACAGCCACTTACTTACTTAAAGGTTTTAATAACACAAGAAGAGTTTTACCAGGGCTGCAAGGAGCAGAGCATGTTAATCTTCTCACCTTGAACACATTCCCCAAACCATAATCAAGTGAGATAATGACATCTACATTCCTCTCTGGCTTGAAAAGTGCTGCACCACTGGTGTTGATGAAATAGCCAACATCTATCAGGCAAAG